GAGAGGGATGAGGCGGAAGGCGTCCCACTATTGCGTAATGTACTCAACAATTTGGACGACATTCCCGTCGATCTGAAGAGTTCGGGTCAAGTGTTTGACGAGTACTTCCGCGAGGGCTGCGGCTGTCATCGCAAATGTCACGAACGGTTCCCGAAGTTCATGGCATTCGAGGCCCATTTGGACGCTCTGGACGCCGACCAGTACTGTCCCGATCACATCAATCACCAGCATTTGCTACTTCTTGGAGCCATGAATTCGTTGGTCCAAAACCATCCGACGACTATAGCCAAGGGTTTGTCTCTCACATCATAAACGCTATAAACTTGTGGTAAACTTCACTAACACTGACTGTCTGTCTGTGTCCGCAGAGCACCGGCCAAAAGACCGTAAGAACGCGAGAACACAGTTCCGATTCCGGGGTCAAGAAGTTTGTCGCAAATTCTTTCTGTTTGTGTTCGGTTGCGGCGAAAAGCGGGTGAAGAATGTGATGAAACAGTTCCTGCATTCGGGTATTTCGCCCAAAGCCCACGAAAGCGCACAAATGACTAAAGAGATCATCAAATTTGATGCCAATCATCTGCGAAGAGATGCCACCTTTTTCATCAGGAATTACGCTCAACAGCACTCTCTGCAGCTGTCGGGCCGTTATGTTGCCGCCGACGGGTCCGCTCGCGATCTGTTCCTATTGCCAGCCGTGGCTAATATGACCAGAAAATACATTTACGATCAGTATATGATCTGCTGTCGAGATCTTAAGCGAGAGGGCGTCTCGTTTGCGCTGTGGGGCGCTCTCTGGGATTGGCTCTGTCCTAATGTAATGGTTCCCAAAAACAAGTATTTAAATGACTATTCATTTTACGCTTAAATAAATTTTAAATTAAAATTTTGTACGTTTTGTAATCAAGATATGAGAACTGTCGCGAATGTCGGGCCCATCAGTACACTATCTCAAAGCCGGAACCGCTGAATGAGAACCGAAAACTCCGGTCAACCGAACGATTCATCCATCACTTATCACAAGTCCATCACGAGTTGACATATTATAAATCGCTGGTCGACTCTTGCAAACAGGCTCTCCTCCAATGCCAACAGCAGCCGACCTCCGGGTCGGGTGTAGTGCCCGCCGTTGACCGGCCGTACCCGACATCCA